TCGCGTTGAGCAGGCATTTAATGGATGAACACTACAAAAGACTCGAGAACCACTGTCCAACAGAAGGAATCATCATTCATTCTGAATGTGAAAGTAACTTAGAATCGGTGTTCTTTCTTTCTTGGGTTCTTTCTTTTTTGAATATAGAGAACTATAGGTGCTGCTTATGAAAATAACATTTATAACATAAGTTATAAAGATCAACGCGAACGAGAATAGTATTCTTCCGTACTTCTCTTTAAAAATCACTTTTTAGGAATAAAACATTTTTTAATGAATTTTCTAAAATTTTTTTTTCTAGATTTTTTAGAATAAATTAAATTATAAAAATGGATATTGAAGAAAGTATCTCTCTTCCTCTCTCTCTCTCTCTTTTTTTATCTATCTATCCATCTATATACTTATTCCTAACATTCTAATTTTTGACAATTTTATGTTTTTGAATTTTGAATTTAAAATTTTTGTTAAATATTCGAAATGCGCTTAATTTTCGATGAGAGAGAGAGAGAGAGAGAGAAAGAGGGTGAGATCATTAACCCGGGGAAATTAAATCGTAAAATGCAACTTACATAAAAAGCTGATCTCTGAAAAATTCAATTCTATCGTTCTTGCAGCTGAAAAGAGGAGAGGATACGTTGAAGAGCATTTAACGAAGTTTAGCGGTAGTTTCAGATGGCTTGCACTGTTTCTCCGACAATGTGTTATCGATGTGTTAACGGTATTACGTGTTTCGAATCTGTGGTTCGTTCAACCCTTGCGATCGTCTCGTCAGTTGTGTAATGTGGTTGCAGCCTATTAATGATGCAATGCAATAAACGATGACTGTGCCAAATGCGCGTTACTTATTTGCATCTGTCTAGATCATAAAGTATGAATTCCTCGATGAAACCACAAATGGGATATTTTCCTTGGGGAAGCTCATTCTGTTCCAGAGATTCAACAAGTTTGTCTCAACTTTTGTTTTGATTACTATCTTTCAAGATTTTTTGCTTTAATAATACAAAATCCAAAGGACTGTTGAAGAGCATAATTAACTGAAGACGAGATTTAGACTTGTAGAGTTTTTCCAAAATTATATTACGAGAAGTACTTGAAATGGAAGTTGTAAAGCTTGCGCACGTAGCATCGAGATTCGATTTTCTGCAATTGAATGTTTTCTCGAATCGCGCGACCATACGTGCTAATTTATAATTGGGTGAAGTATGTATAGACACGGGTCTTCTGTTTGCTCAATGCCAGTATGCTACCGTTTACACTGACTGCTTTGAAAGAAAACGAGCGGATGTGCATGCGTAAACAGAGTCGTTTGTAGACCAAATTAAGTCTTGACAAATATTTTCTGTTCAGTTTGATATAAAGTACGCTTTTTGTCAAACTAAAATAACAATGCCTTATAGTTGATTCTGGAAAAGAAAAGTAAATATCTCGATTTTGATTTATGGATAAATCGAGTTAGATATTATTCTTTTAACGTTACTTTAGTATTTTATTGGTTCTTTTAACATTATTTTAGTATTTTATTGAGATACCTTTCTTATAAGAATACACAGAACAACAATATTATAAATTTCTGTAAAATTATAAATATCTTACATTGTTTATTATTTTAAATACAGTGTTTATAAATATCATGATTTCGATTATATATTCAATTTAGTATTAAGTATACAATATTTTAAATGCATAAATCATTCATTTATTTGCGATAATCGTCTCATTTAAATTCAATTATCTATACGCGCATAGCCGATAAATAATAATGAGTCGAATTAATAATTAATTGAAATCGCCGATATATCTTAACTGACATAATAATTCATTCTCTCGTCATTTATTGTTCGTCGTTCATCGTTTCGTTCATTTAATCATTCGTATCTACTTAACGATCACGTAAGACCCTCCGGCGAAATAATTATTCATGCTAAATTCCGATACGTACGTGAACGTTGTTCTTCTGTACATTCCCGATTGTCGCAGAGACAGGAAATCGTTATATACACGATTCAGTTCTCGGTGCCGTGCGATAAGATCCTTTGACAGGAGATGTACGGCATTCGCAGGGGAAAGAAACCGTCGGATCGTAAAAGAACTCGCTGCACCATATTCGGAAGCGCTACATTTTCGCAGGGCTGGACAACGGTATCTCACCGCCCTGCGAATGGAATCGTAATCCCGCGTCTTCTCCGATAAATATCGACTATCGCTAATGTGAATTACCGATGACGGTTGTCGAAATTTTAAACGCACTTTGTCGTTTGCGATTTTTATCGCAACCATCTTATACAAAGTCCAGATCTTTTTGGCTCATTATTAATCGACTTATCTCCTTTAATTTTTCAAAGGCTCGAATAATGAATGGATTAAGATAAGCGGCGCGTTATCCTCTTATCGTCTTTTTGACGACGATCTCGTTAATCTCTATCTAATGATAAAGTGGCTATCCTCTCAATGGTCCTAAAGCTATCGTGAGGTAAAAGCTTGAACGCGGCTGATGCCAGCACGAGCGGGAGAGAGAGAGAAAGAGGAGGGGGGGGAGCGGGTTGGGAGAAATCGAGTGAGAAAGAAAGACTGTGTCTTACGCGTGTTGATGTTACGGCTTACTTCACACTAAGTCCGTGATCGCCATTTGCGATTTCTTTCTGCTTGCGCGCTCTTCACGTAACTGCGTTTCCTGAACGATAAGTATATATATATAAGTCTCATTCATTCATTCACCGATCTAACAACGTTTGTCGATTAGTGTGTTTTCCTCGAGACTCAAGCCAGAGTGTATGAGTATGGGGGAGGGGGAATTCTGAACGAGGAGTCGATCTTTTCAGCTGACAAGTGCAAGGATGTCGCGTCCATTCCACAAAGTGAGCTTTCCATGTTCTTTGTTGGTTGACATAAAAGGCTCACGTTAAAAGTACGCGGGTTTCTTTCTGCGCGAGTGTTCCGATCCATCGGAAAATTTGATAGATAGCATATATCCTGAGGATTTTTTGCATAGTCGAGGATAGCGCGGAAAATGCAGAGAGAGAGAGAGAGAGAGAGAGAGTGAATAACTGGGAAGCAAGCTACTATCGACAAAGTCTTTCTTCATGGCTTTCCAAGGCGGTCACGAGTTCTTTCTATGTGGCGCTAATTTAATATGCAGCGATGCAGCACGAGCGCACGTCTCGCTCGTCTAAATATAATCGCGCAGAACGCGTTAGCGTGCGTGGAAGGATGTTTTGCGAAGTGCGCGCGCGCAGGAGTGGCCATCGGAGATTTCGCGGTTTTCGCATATTTCAGCAAACATTGAAACGCATAAAAGCTGACATCACCTATCCTTTTTCTATTCTTATCTACATGCTGCTTTTATAAGCTGGTTGCATCATTAATATGAATAGCATGTGAAATCAGCATGCTTAATCTGTGATTCTACGTAATGGACGATGACGATAACGACAATGGCGACGATGTTACTGTTGTTCTCGAATGCTTGACGATAGAGTGAACAGGTACTTGCTGTATTCGTAAGTTTCTGTCCGGTTGACCTAAATTTCGAGTTTACTGCTTCAGTCACCGAGGTCAACTGGTGTCAACACGATAGACGATGAGCCGCCGTCGTTGCTGCGTAGGCAATGATTCTACGCGTGGGGGTGAAACCTTAGATCAACGATTGTTGTTCTACTTAATGTGTTATAAATTGCGAAATTATCTTAACTACTATTGGAACGCGTAACGAATAACCGGAGAGCAGTGTGACGCTTCTTTTTAATTGAGATAAATTTCTAGGTTAGATTAGCTCTCTCTCTCTCTCTCTCTCTCTCTCTCTCTCTCTCTTTCTCTGTTTTTCTCTTTCTTCTCTAGACACGTGGAAATAAAACAATGCGTGACGTCTCATGTGTTTATCTCATATTTAATAGTTACGGACCATTACGGAGCATAATAATTTTAATATATTAATTTATACTATTCTATGAACTTGTTATAAAAAAAAACTTCAGAATGATACATCCGTACATCTATCTGAATTCATCATAAGTATTAAATTTACTCAAAATATATTTTGAATCCTAGTATACACTTTATACACTTCAATCAAGAATATCAAATTGACATGAGAATATGAAATTAAGACATAAATTTAGTTTGCCTTTGAAAAGAGAATAAATTCTTTTCTCGAGTACATGATAGTGAGATTTCCTAAAATTTGTGATAAATATATTTTAAGGCTACTATAAAAAAAATAACTGGAAAGTTTAATATTTTTCTTTGCGTGCGAAGGCTGTTGTGCCAATCTGTGTTGATTGGTCCCTGCACGCCTGACGTCATGTTGCAAGATCTGAATATATGCGATTATATACTACATGTATGTTCTCTGGAGAATTTAGGTCGGACGCATCATATCTAAGCACTCATGCATAGTGATTGTTAGTTAACTGCAAAATTTAGAATTATGTTTTTATCGGTTTACTCGGTCGTTGTGCCACAAACTGTTACTTATTTCTTAACCTTACATTTAATCTTTTGACGCGTGTCAAGTACCCATGAGTGTGTCAAACTGTCAGACGCAATTCTAGATCGTGCATAAATCTCTTTCGACTCTCGATGACCAATCCGATTCAAACATGGCGTTTCGATTACCACGATTTAACTTCCGGGACATGTTCACAGATCGCGCGTTTGCATACATTTAGAGCGCGCAATACCTTCGGGTCAGCGTTTCCCGCTTTTCGATGACTGTAATGTACTTAGAAATCTCCAGCGTGTATTAAAAGACTGAAATTCCGGGAAAATGTTCGTGAGATACAATAATACCCACTCGGGAGGCAAACCAGTTCGTAAGTTTGTGCTCGGTTATAATATCATATTATCAGATATAGAAACATACGCGGTTATAATCCTGACACAGATTCGATTTAAATTTTGATCCTACCTAAGTCGAATCAGTCGTCGTTGCTCTTAAATATTTCAAACCTTCTCAGCGAACGTTGTGCTCAATTAATTATTCACGATGAACGATAATGTTGCAGATGAGCGCGAGGATGTGCAGAAGAAGACGTTTGCCAAATGGATAAATTCGCAATTGCTCAAGGTAAGTCCATTCCTGATTCAGTACTACCGTTCTACTCGTCATCGCCATTGAGTTATTCCGCTAGGTTATGGTATAAAAACTCGCGAAAACTTTCGCTTTCTGCGAAGAACTTTCTGCGCGCGCGCGCACGCGCGCGATGCAACGAGTATACTTGTTATTTATCGTAAGTTTTACGTTCGTTATCAGGATCTCAGGCCGCGATGCATATAACAGAGTCGTCTGAAAGACGCATCCTGCGAGGAAGAATGCTGCGAGGCGGACGTCTAATTTGTCTTTCTTTTCGTAGAATCATCATGATCCGATCACCGATCTGTTCGTCGACCTACGAGATGGCAATCGCCTGCTGTCCCTCTTGGAAGTACTTACTTCGAAGACTTACGTAAGTATAATGCGCTTATCGTTCGTGCGCCGCTGCATCGTTAAAAAAAAATCCGGCGACGCACTGATCCGTGATTTGGTCGGCGAGGGAGATTTTTCTTTTCCCGTGTCGGAGCGATACGGCCATCCAAGAGAGAAAGGGAGAACGCTGCTTAAGTAACGATTGTGTCTCTCGCAGATAGTCGTTCATTAGAACGCAACTTTCATAACCGTGTGCGAGAGCGCGAGATTCCCAATAAAATCGTTCTCAAAAGCATCTCGCGTCAGCGCGTTCACGTACCGTCATGCCGTCACGTGGAATTGCCACGGAGCAGGTGCACGTGCATAGGCAGTATTTGCATAAGACCGCAGCCGATTATGAATGCGCGTGGTACAGACGCAAGAATGTTGTTCCATTCGCGAGATGTATACCGCGCGCATTTGCATCGCCCCATGCAGGTGTCCGCTTTCATCGTTGAAATTTATTTCATGCAATGCCAGACGCAGAATTAGACGGATCCAAAGATTATGTACTGAAAATAAGTCACGCGAACTTTAGAGATCTTCTCTTTTCTTAAGAAGGGGAAATACATGTATTGCTTTACAGAAAAGGGAGCGTGGTCGGATGCGAGTGCATCATCTTAATAATGTTAACAAGGCATTGCAGATCCTTGAGCAAAATAACGTGAGTATGCAACTACCAATATTTGTGTCACATTAATAGTTTGATTTTGTGTAGTAGTTAAATATTGACTGAGACATGAAATAAATCTATTGACGTTACACATAATAATCTAAGATAGTAATAATTGAAGCTTCTTACGTGATACTTACACTTATATTGTGTTATGTAATGTTTTAGGTGAAACTTGTCAATATTAGTAGCAACGATATTGTCGACGGTAACCCGAAATTGACACTCGGTCTGGTGTGGAGTATTATTCTACATTGGCAAGTAAGTCAAATAACATTGTTCGAATATTGGATTTTGTAAATTATCAAAGATCAGATTTATATGCGTATTTTAAAGTTTTATGATACAGAGTTATAATATTAGTAGTTGCAGCTTTGAAGATAATGTTTATAATTTTCTAATTTTGAGCCACAGGCTGCTATTGGCAAGAGAAACATCGTGTATAAAATAAATCTTGAGAGTAACATATCTTTGCCATATCGAATAATTGATCGTCCATATAACAATGTTCCAATTAGTCATGTGGAAACTAATTTGTGCGATAGTATAGATTCAATTTCCAAATTTAAAAATTATTGGAGACTTTTTGAACGTAGTAAACATAATAAGTTGAACGAGGATGACCTAAAAATGATCTCAGTCCAATAATATTAAAGGAATTAATGACGCTTTATACAACAATAGTAAGAATTAAATATATAATTAACTCAATTTAGATTTCTAATAGGATAAAACAACAGACGAACAATATATATATATATATATATATATAACAATATATATATATAAATTCATATAAATGTTATCCTTATTTTATGAGAAATAAAAATAATAAACATTTTATAAATAAAAATATTTTTAGTTAGTCCTAATATGATCCCTGTTTTAACCTAATTAATAATTTGTCTATCATTATTATTTTTTTTATTATTGTGTTTTAATAATAGGTGCATTATCATCTAAAAGACTTGATGACAGAATTACAACAAACCAATCTAGAAAAAACGCTTCTTGCTTGGTGCCGTCAAAATTCGCAGGTAACCGCGTTATAACAGCCATATTATCATAGCCATATATATCAGCCATATATTCATTCAAAAAAATATATAAAGTCAATAAATTACAGATGAAATTATTTATATCGTGTGCTTTTTTTGTAGAATTATCCTGGTGTAGATATTAAAAATTTTACAACGTCTTGGTCGGATGGATTAGCATTTAATGCGATTTTACATAAGTGGAAACCTCATCTGTTTGACTTTAATAATATCGCGCGTAAACATCCAAATGCCAGATTGGACCATGCTTTTCGGCTCGCGCAGGAACATCTCAATATCGAACGCCTGTTGGATCCCGAAGGTAATTTAATTTCAAATATTACATATAATATTAATTACATCTTTTTTCTCGCACGTCCCATATTTGAAATATATATTTTGAACTTATTGAATATAATTTTTATATTATATTTTTATTACATGTAATTAAATCATATATATATTAGATAAAATATCGTAGATATGGAATATATTAAATTTTTCTTGTGTTTTAATAATTATTACAAATAATAATAATTATTAAAAAATTGTCAATAATTTGTTGAACGACATTTACTTATCATATATCTTATTTTGCAGACGTCAATACTTCTGTACCAGATAAAAAATCTATCATGATGTATGTTACGTGTCTCTTCCAATCGTTACCGCATTCCGGAGATGATATTGGTGAATTAGATCTTTCAATTGCAAGTGACAGTACCAGCCCAGTTACAACACCAGGGACAGAAGTACGCACTTCAGTAGTTCAGCGAATATGCGACAAGTAACATGTCCTGTATATTTCTATATCAGCTATGTATGAAAATTAATTTGCAGCCTACTTTGTCCTTCGGTAATTTTGGAATGCCAGCCTCCCGTCCAATGAGCTTAGCTACAAATGTTTCCGTCGAACTCGGTGGTTATCAAGTCGCCCTCGAGGATGTCCTAACGTGGCTTTTGGAGGCGGAAGACAAATTGAATCATGCCATTGAGCCAGGCTCAACTCTAGACATATTGAAACAACAATTCCACGAGCATGAAACCTTCTTGATGGAGCTATCTGGTCACCAGGACGGGGTAGGGACTGTTCTAGAGGAAGGTGCAAGATTGTTAGCTGAAGGCGGATTGCATAAAGATGAGGAGCATGAAGTTCGCGTGCAAATGTCGTTATTGAATTCTCGATGGGAAGGATTACGAATGCGCGCCATGGAGAGACAAAGCAGTATTCACGAGGTACAGATATTTCGCGCGCTCATGGAAATAATACATTTTTATATCTAGTATTCATAATACCGAAGTTTAATTTTGTATTACGAACTTGACGTTAAATCATATATTTATAAAATAACCCTATTTATATGCACATAGTTTGCGTGTTGGACATCTCTGAAATTCCATGTTTGCAATTAAACGTTAATCATACTTTATGAACGCATTGTTCTAATATGTTACCGTTTTTAGGTCTTGATGCAAATGCAACAGGCTCAGTTAGATGCGCTGCGACAATGGTTGACAAAAACGGAAGATCGGATTTCTCTGATGGCAGCAACCGAATTAAACCCGTCTGCTCTCGACGAACAGATGAAACATTTAAACGAATTAGAACAAGATATTCAGGCGCAGCAGGACGTTGTTAATGGCATGAGAAATATGATAGTGGTAGTAGACGAAGAAAATTCCGAGGCAGTGTATGCTCAAATGGAAGATCAATTATCCGCCCTCGGCGAACGCTGGAGTCACATTTGTCAATGGAAAGAGGAACGGCGCCAGCGGTTGGAGTCTGTTTCGACGCTTTGGCACAGTGTCACCGACGACTACAAGAAGTTGGTAGCGTGGTTGAACGAAACGGAAATTACATTAAAGCAAATGGAAGCTAATCCGGCATCCGAAATTGGTGAGGTGTTAGACCGAATAAAAAGACTGCAAGTTCTGAAGGCGGAAATGGATTTCAATGAGAAGAAATTAACGTCTCTGCAAGAATCAATTCAAGATTTGGATGGCCATGGTTCGTCTCCGGAGTGTATGAATATTTTAGAGAAGATTGAAAACTTGCAGGATCGATGGGAAGCTGTAGGACAAATTATGGAAGTTCAAACTCAAAGGGTATAAGACTTATAATTTATAATAATTTGTAGAATATACTAGTATTAATAAATAATATTTTGTGAAATATATAAGTTTTGGCGAAAATATATATATCTTGCTCCTTGATGATGTTTGCAACTCATTTTTATCGTATTATATTAGATAACAAATTCCGGATTTGAATTTGACTTAATGTCCGAAGATAGCACAACAACTGTTAAGGGAAATGAATGGATGTCTGAGACGGTAACGAGTATAGCATATAAAGAAGAGATTGCTGCAACAGTATGTATATTTTATACATTCGTTTTTAACATTTACTTTGGTTTTGATGTGCTTATCAGTTATTCTTTTTTTCCAGTCAACACCACATAGTGATTCAAAAAAAAGGCGAGTTGATAGTACCATTAAACATGAATTTGAATCGGCTTTACTTCATCTGTATAAATGGCTAGATTACGTCGACTTAGAAATTGGTCGTTCAGAAGGGGTATTCGATGAGTTAAGCGTGGAAGAGAAGAAAGTAGTTTATGAGGATACTCTCATAGACATGGAATCGCACAAGAATGAGTACGATAAAGTTCTTGAAATCGGTCAGCAACTTATCGAAGAGTTAAGAAATGCAAATGAATCCACTGAAGAAGAAGAATCCAAGATTAAAAACATACAAAATTGTTGGATGGCGACGAATACTCGTTTGCAGGATATAAAAAGGCGTATCGATTACTTGGAAGAAGTGAAGAAATTCCGCACTGAATTGGCTAGTTTAAATTTGATGTTGGAAAGTTACACCAAATGGTTCGATATGAATAAAGGAAACAATCAGATAGAACCGTTTAGAGTAAGTTGAGGAATATTGATTATATATACATATATGTACATTATCAAAAATCTGTTATATAATTTTAATATTAAAACATTTGGTTCAGGTTAAAATGAAATCAATGAAGTCCCACGACGAGCGTATTAAAAGAATGCTTGAAAAAGCTAGTGAATTGTCACTGAGCCAGGTTTCAACTGCAGAAAGCAGTAATATTGATGCAGATATAAAAATGTTTTCCATTAATTGGAATAAATTGTATACGACGTAAGTATCGCTGTGAACATGTGCATATAGTTATATTGTATCGTTTAATACAATACATGTATAATGATGTTCTTAGGTTATCGGAGCGATTAACCGAAGTAAATAACGCCATCGATCGAACACCACCTAAGAAGTATACCGAGGCAGTTTCTAATCTAACATTGTTTATTAATAATGTGGAAGGTGTCTTATTGTCACAGCATATAATTATGTCTGACGAGAAAGCTATGGAAGAGCAAATGAATAAATTCAGAGATATACAAAGCTCATTAAAACAACAGGAGGAAATTTTTAAATACATTAATTCCACTGGACAAGATCTGATAGCGAAAATTGATAATGATATTTCGGCACAACGGTTTAAAGATGAATTGCAGGACCTCAATACCAAATGGAGTGATATACCTATTATTTTGGAAGAGAAACAACAAAGTCTTATAAAAAGTAAGTAAAATGTTAATATATGCACACAATATGAGAAATAAATTTCTTATTTTGATAATATAAATTGAAGAAAATTGATTTATTATTAACTATTAATATAGTGCAATATGACTCATTTTAGATATTACAACTGTACAAGCTTTCAATAATGAACTTTCGGCATTAGAATCTTGGTTGAAAAAATCGTCATTATTCCTAGAGGATTTATCTAAAGACAACGTCACAGATAATGTTGAGAGAACGGAACATAAATTAGAGCAAATACGCTCTTTTTCGCAAGAGATGGATAAAACAAAGCCGCAAATGGAAGTATTTCGAACATCGACAAATAGAATACTTGAGAAATCTGAAGCTAATTTTGCAAGTTTGTTAAGCAGTAAATTGGAAGACGTAACATATAAATGGGCCGCTGTCGTTAACGAGGCTAAAGATCTAAGCGACAAATATGAGAGTGCTTTAAAGAAGAATGATGATGTGAGTACGAAAACTTTACAAGAACAATACAAATGGCTTTTGTTATTTAATGGCACTTTTTCTGTTAGATTATTAATGGTATAGAAGATTTCACAAAATGGCTGTCAAGCCTGGAAAAAGATATACCAGTAGAATCACGAATAACGTCTTCAGTCGAGCTTTTCCAAGTTCGGGGTCGATACCAAGCACTGAAAGACAAAGTTGACAAACGAGTGGAAGAATTTCGAAATCTCAACGAAATGGGAAATGATAAATTATTAAGTTCGGAGGGATCGTCTGTGCAAGAGCTCGGTAGACGGTTCACCTACTTGAATGCGCGATGGACTGACGTTACAGATCGTATATACGAGCGCTACAGACATTTACAAAATGCTAGTCATGAGTATGGAGAATTCCGGGCTTTGGTTGCACAGGAAAGCGACTGGTTAGACAAGTTAGATAAAAGATTGAAGAAATCACCCAAAGCTGCTGCGGATGCAGAAGAAATCTCAGAAGAACTCGACGTGAGTAATATTTTTAGTTTGGTAGTAATGATTTAATTTGGCAACGACAACGGTTTTATAAGAGATTTTACAATTTAGAAGAAGTAAACTCATAACATAATATGTTTCATAACTTCTAAAAGAGTGCATATATATAACAACTTTTCTCAAAGAATTTATGTACGTTATTCAAGGATTTAGAAAATTATATACGAAATCATTCGGAATCCAGACTCGAGAAGATTCAAGAAATTGGCAAACAACTTATCGACAGCAATATCATGACTCATTCCATTGAAACGGACGTGGAGGGATTAACGAATCGATGGGAAAACTTAAACAAACAGGTATATGTGTGTGTGTGTGTGTGTGTGTGTGTGTGTGTGTGTGTGTATACTACATGTTTGTCACTAATACAAAGTATATAATTATACTAATATGTATGTATGTATATATATATATATATATGTACGTATATATCGTGGATGTGTATACACATATACATATACATCCTATAAGAAGCTTGTGCATTACTTTTTCGTTGAATTGTATGTAACAATAATTTTAAGCATACATGTACAAGCACGGATTTTTGAAACTTCAACTGCTTGCATGTGACATTATTATAAATAGCTCAAAATAGTTACGAGCAATGCATATAATTAAGGGTTAGCCATAAGATCATAAATAAGATCATAAATAGATCACAATTAGATATGTTCTATTAAAATAAAATTTTAGAAAACTTTAGAAAATTTTAGAAAAAAATCAATATATAATATTATATAATTGTATATCATTCGTCTTTGCTTGTCTAAAAAAAAGCTATAATAATTAGTCATTGTAATTTTGTGACAATTAATATTATATATATGTATATTATAACTTGCTTTTTGGAAAGTTAGTTTAGTTAGAAAGAGTTATGTTTTGAGTAGGCAGGGCAACGGGCCAAGCTGTTGGAAGGATCAGTGAAACAAGCCCAGCAATCGGAAGGGCGTATCCTTTCTCTTCAGCATTCTTTAACACAAATAGATACTGTACTAACAGCACGTCTTGATTGCGACCTTACTGCTGATGACTTGCCTCACGATTATCAGGTCTGTTGGTGATATATATATATATATATTGCTATTTTTATGATTTGTCTAATATAACGGAAAATATAAAAACAAAGACACACAGTGTAAAATATATCTATTTTATTTTTTTTTGTATATATGTAACAGAGAGAAAAAATAGCATGATCGAAAGAATGTGGTTATGAACATTTGCATATTCTGCATACTTCTTACTAACAATTATATTAAGAAAAAGAATATAAATTTGTATTAATGCGTTTGATTCGTAAAATCCATCTATCTAAACATTTATTTATAATTTTATTATATATTATGAAAACAGAAATTGATGGAAGAAATGGAACAGCAACGTGCTACACTTGAGGAAATAGCGTCGCAAATTAAGTCGTATAAAGCCTCCGGTAAACAAGAAGCGGCGCTTCGACTACAGGAACAAATGTCCCTTATTGAGCAGAAGTATGCCAAAGTGCAAAGGAAATTTCAACGTTTCCGATGTCCAACCAATATAGAACCTAGATTATCAAGAGCTTTGCGAGAACTCAGGGGAATAGAAGAAGCGACTTGTTTGCTAGAACTCTCATCGGAAGATCCCGAAGCCATCGAGGGTCAATTAAAACATTGCTTGGTAGCATCTATCACTTATGATACACATCATTTATATAATTCACAAAATTATTTTGTACATATTACTAATAACTTGTTTATTGCTCTTTACAGCGTTTTTATCAGACTTTGAGTGAAATTAAGAATGAGATTGAATGTATAATTGTGACTGGGAGGAAATTAGTCGAAGACAAAAACGTTTCTGAACCTGATAAATTTTCAAAGCGAATCGACATGTTAAAGGAGTTATATAATAAAGTACATAAATTTATTAGTGATAAGTGATATTGTATTACAGCTTGAATATTAAATCGTCATTAATTTATTAATTAATCGTCATTAATTTATTACAGCTTGGTTTTCATATAACGGAATCGAAATCCATATTAGAATCGGCGCTAGAGCTATCGCGTGACATGCACAAAAATATGACATATATTAATATGTCGGTCGAAAGTATAAATAAGGAATTAGACACGCAAAAGAGTATGCCTGATTTACCAGTAAATGCGATATATGTGCGAGTAAGTATAAATTCTAATTTAAATCTATATTTGAATTATTTTTTTTATTCCGGGGATAAATGCGAATTATTATTGGATATTAAATGCATTTTTATCAAGAATTATAAAATTAGATTCTGAATTTCTTATATTTAAATTAAAATATGTATGCTTGCATTATGACTTGCAGGAAACTTTGACCGAAGTAATCCCGCGATTAAATGTTATAAGAGATAAATTACTTAGATCGCAAGATGAATTTTCGAAGTTTTGCGATCCTATGTACCTTGAACAACTTAAGGAAAAAATGTCGGACGTAATTGCAAGATTAGCAAATACAGAGAAAAGATTGCGACTTTGTAAAGGTTCAGAGGTAAATATATTTTACCTTTCAATGTATACTCATAATATATACAATTTTCCTTTTCTGTAAAAGGATGAGCCCAATGTTGATGAAATAAACGCCTGGCTTCTACAAGTTGAAGAGAAGTTAAATAAATTAGACGCGGTTCCGATAGATCAACTTACAGAGCATCACTTCGAACAATGCAAAGTAATGAAATATTTGTGTGCATGATATTAAGATATAAAATGAAATATACATATAACGTTTTATTCTTCAATATATAAAATATATAAAATATATCTACTTTAAAAACATTTTGATTATAATAATTCAATATTATTTGGACATTTCCTTGCTAGGCTGTGCAAAGTGAAATGATTGAAGCAAAACCCAAAGTCAACCAACTTCAACGTTACGCATATTATCCTAAAGTAGCTGAGATATGTGAAAAATGGGAGGATATTTCGAATAGAATACAGGTATGTATCTGCTTTCCGTTATCACACGAAATTGAAACTCACTTATCACCGTTACTTTTATTATGTTTAAAGTCAGTTATATCATTCATTGCTTATTCACTCATGGCTTACTTCTTGCTTATACTTTAACAATTGGTATATGTAATACTTGTGCTTTATTAGTACCATTACGTATATCTCTATCACAAGTTAAATTTTTATATATATATACATATATATATATATATATATATATAAGATTTTATATTTTTTGAAAGATGCAAACATACACACATACAAACTTACGCACATACATCATTGACTTATTTTGAATATGAATTTTCATCCAATATTAATCAATCTTATATTGGAAATGTCACATTTCTCGTTTTTTGTTTACAGCAGGATTTAAGTACAGTTTTCTTTATGTACATATTGTTTGTTTTTAAATAAAAGTGTTATGTTATTATAGTTTCTCTGTCGGGGATTTCCTATCGCACGTACGCGCGCGATATAATATGTACATATTATATAGACTTACGCGTGTGTACTATTATTATTTATTTCCCGATATATATACATAGAATATGTATTTTGTCCAAGAGGTGGCTCTATCTCTGTAAATAGTGTAATTACTCGAAATGAGTACACATTCTGGTGAATGGATAGACTTGTACTTTGTCGATATTCTGTCACGTATTGTCTCTCCCCTTGTATAAAATCTACTTTTTATACGTACGAAAAAGAAACATAAAAAAATACAGACGGGAAATTATGCAGAGCTAGAAGAAGTCAATTAAGAGGCGTAGCGCGCAATGATATTGGCATTGGTGATGGACACACATGAAAGATTCAGCTTCACATGTGCACAGTGAATCGCATTGATCACTTTCATTAGATCACGCTTGATATTGTTACACTATTAACATGCTCTTTCAATTAACCGTCGACTGTCCACGGAGTTTCTGTTACCTATCGTATTTTCGCAGGAATGGATCCACAAAATCACAGACAATTTATTAGTAAAAACTAAAGCGGGAGAGACTAAGGGGAGAGACAATTACGGACGCAACAAATTGCCTAAACAGCTGGAACAAACTTCCGCGCATCTTGTCAAAAAAGAAAAGAAATTGATAGACGAGAATGAAGCGATTTATGGCATAGGATATCTTAATCCCGCGTTTGACGATAATCAATGTTCCATCATTAGCACACCCGAGAGTTCGCCAATTGACATACCCCACCGAAGCAGAAAGTCTTCGGCCAAGTCGGAAAAAGTCAAAGCTAGAATCGTAGACGTCAGTAGAACCGTCCGGCGCAAGCTAGACATGAGCTCTGTGCCCGATGTTGTTCAGACCTCTCAACCGCAGGTCGTCCAGATCGACGACGACTTGCCGTCACCAAGCTCCGATAATATGTCAGATGTTCATGTGACCGATGACGAGGAATTCTTTCTATCCAAGAATAGTAAATTATTTTCTCAAGTGTCGAGTAATACTCTGACAGCAACGGAGGCCGAGACGTTTAACGCGGCTTGCGTTCAGCAGAATCCATTGCGCGTCGTAGAGGTGAAGGAAATGGAAATTGTAAAATCGATAGCTTCTCCCGAGGATCATGTGATTTTGCCGAGTGCTAATGTCAGTGTCGGATTAGTGCCGCAAGTAGTCGAAAGGGTGGAAATCGTGGAAGACACCGAGACAGAACCCGAGTCCATAGACACAGACACGGAGGATAAGGAAGGTAGAGGAAAAATGTCCGCTACCGTTTCCGGTCTCGCAGAACAGCTTGTCAGTAAGAAGAAGGAACTCGTGCCGATTTTAAAGAAGAAGACCGCGGCGGAACCAATTCCCGCGAGAAATATCAAAAGACTCATTCTGAAATTAGATTTGGACGCGGATCACGCCGATGTTATTGATTCGAATAAAAGTACGACATTTCCTAGCGGCGCGTCATTGAAAAAGACCGAGGCTAGCACCGCCGTAGATCAACAAACAGACGTTAAGTCAAATAAGACCCCGAGAACTACAACTTCTACATGGAAAGATACAGAGAGTGTTGCGGAGTATCTCATATTAGACGATAACGAAGAAGTGGAGAAATCCGACGCAAACGTTCAAGCAAGTTGTGCCGAAACGTATGACTCAACGACGAAACCGAAAGACAAAGACACTCAGAAAGAGGTCGCATCTCAGAGAAGTATCGAATATTCCAAGAGACACGATAACGCTGGCAACACGAGTCGAAGCGAGGACGAGAAACTTTGCAAGAGAACACCGTTAGCGAAACGTATGAGGAGTCTGTCGAAAGACGATACTTTAGAAGACTGCGAGAGCTTTTACGGCAGTGATAAGGAAACGGACGATGTTCTGATATTTTCGGATGATACAGAGATTGATGTTGGTAGTTCCAGTTCGGACGGAGAAGACACTAATTTAGGAGAGCATGTTGAACACCTCTTGGACAAGGTAACATACGTGCCACGTATACACGCCACTGACGCCACCAGCAACTCGCGTTATTCGTTTCAAATTTTAACGTTTACGTAGGTTTCAGCACGAATACTTCTTGTGATATTTAGTTTCACAAAGAATTACCTTCTTTTTATAGATTAAAGTCGAGAAGACTCAGCCGTTCGCGCAGCACCGGGTGGAGGCAAAAGGACTGTTCAAAAGTCCAGTGAGTACATCTCGAACAGCATTGGAGAAAAGTGTTTTTGAATTTGAACAGGCGGCGCAAATGATGCTGTGCAGAATGGACGTTATGTTGATGAGTATCAGTGGCATTTGTAATGAAAAAGATCCTACCAAGCGCCGTGAGGTTTGTACTATGTTTATCTTTTGTTTCTTCTATGTTCTCTGCAAGTTGTTGGGGGAAAATCGAAATATATTCGTCTGAATTGCTTTGTGAGATTTATACATTTTCTATGTTACAGATACTCAAAAGTGAAGTCAGTATTCTTGCACCAGACGCGGCGGCTTTGATCAGTAAAGGCGACGGTTTAGTTATGACGATACACATGACTGATCCTGCGCGAGCTGAAAAAATCAAGAACGAGCATCAAGACAAGCTAAGAAGCAAGTGGCACCAAGTCATGACTGAAATCGAGATGCGCAGGAAACAGGCGCAGAAGGCTGAAGAAATTTTGCGGCAGTACAATAATATTGTTGCAGAATTTGAAGATTGGTTCAGGGATGTGCCGTTGAAACTTGAACAAGCTAATAATTACGAAGGGCAATTGGAGTCGTTTACTGAGGAATTTGATATGAAACAAGTGCAAATACACAAACTAAATGAGCTGGCTGTCGAGTTGAAGAAATTAAACGTTGGCTACTCGGAATCTGTACGCTACAACATCAACAGCAATTGGCAGAAAGTTAGTTCGCAGTTCAAGAGATTCAGCGGAAGCAAAGACAAGGACAAACATGTGACAGACAAGAAAGTGGAATTGGTACGTTTAATAAATATTTATAATCTGTATTGAAGTATCGTGTTAGAGTTGTTAATCAATTGTTATTTGTCAAAGATTAAAATTTTTTTGTGTTGTATATGAGGAAAATGTATATGAGCGTTTTCTTCTAGGATGTCGGCGGCGTTAATCCGCAGGAGTTTATAGCGCGGATCAGCAAATTAAGAGAAGCAACGTCGACTGTGTCGCGGTCCTTGAATTCCTTGCCGTTGAGCGGCAAAGACTACGAGTTATTCACGAATCAAGAGGAATGCTTGAAGAAAATTAGTAATGCCTTAAATATATTGAAGCCGAGCGTTGATGAAGTAAATTACGTCTGTGAAAGTGTTATGCGGCAAGCGAAACGAGAGCAAGCCGACCAAATAAATTACTTGAGCGAGAAATTGCAAGATGAATGGACGAGCGTTAATCAAAGCTACATGGAGAGGCACAATCGTTGGATCAAATGCTACGAGAAGTGGAGAGAACTCCATAACACATGCCGAACTTTTTCGGAGTGGTTAGACAAGATGGAAGACGCTCTCAAGAAATGCAATGTCTTTAGCCATTCTAAGGCGAGCAAAACGAAGACTTTTGAGTTGGAACAAGAAGTTTCTCGAATGCAGAGAACGTTGAATAATATGAACGCAGCGAGTGCGGATATATCTAGCCGTGCCTCCTCCGAAGACGTAATGGAATTACAAAGTATGGTGGAAAACATCAAACACCGCTGGCAGAATTTGGTGGCCGAAGTGAGCGCGCGGAAGGAACGGTGAGTGAAATACGCATGATCTTTTTAACACTTTCGGAAAAACAAAGTTTTTCTCCCCGAGACATTTATACACACGCTGCACTCAAATAATTTAAATAAATGTACATAGTTTTGCAAACGCGAGCGATGCTCATTGCTTATGATTCAGAATTATGAATTATAAAGTTATGACTTGCTAATGCAGACAAGCATGTAGCATTGCGAGGAAAGCTCGGCCCAGCATTGAGCTATTTCAGTTGTGATTTGCCTGTGCTGCTGTAGTGAAGTCAGTCAACTCAGAATAACCTCAGAATAAACGAACACAGTTTCTCTTGTAAATCTGGTTTTTCTATGAAAGAACATATCTCCTTTATATGTGCCGCATCTCGAACGTATTTACATTATCGTATTATTTAAGGAACTTCGCTATGGAGAGAAAAGTGAACAACGACAGCCGCGTTTTCGAAACTGCGTACAATATCGTGGAGCAGGTGAATACTCTGCTAGTGTCCGCGGCGAATCCTTCGGACGAAACTTCCTTGTCGATCAGGCTGTCGTTAATTAAGGTGAGTTTGCACATCTTCCAATATTTCTCTTTCTCGTCTTGCTCGAATCTACGCACGAACGATTACTGTTGTGTAGTTAAAGACTTTATTACGTTTTGCTTTCTGCTTCTTGAACGCACACGTATTTCTAATTGTTACAAATAACGAATATATCATCAAAATAATTCAGTTTTCATCTGGAACGCACTCACTGTTCGCGGAGATCACTGTTACACGAAGCCGCGCAATATTTTGCTTTCGAAATAACATCACGTACATGATGTACAGCAACACTTGAACATATATTATCGAAAAACTTTCTAGCAGAGATCCTCCGCTTAGAGATGCGACTTGGATAAGTAACGGAATTATTCTCTCCGTGAGTCAGTTTCCATGGGTCGTAGTCCGGCGCAGCATAATCAAATAAACCGAAACTTGTCCTAATAATATCCCTCTACATTTCATGACCGCACATGCTAAACCGTGCCAGGACATAAATAGCGTTGAACTCTTACTTTATACCGCTTCCTACCACTTCGCCTATCGGTTTTGACTTTTATTGTATTTTCTACAGATGACTCTATTGTATTATAATATTTAAATTATCTACAATATTAATTTTTTTTTCACTCATTGCCGTACATTTCACACACGTAAGATAAATTGCTTTCTTTTGAGAATATGCAGTAAACCATATCGTTTGAATATACTGATTGATGCTGGTGTATTTTTAGGCGAGAGAAGAAGAACTTTTGTCACGGAAAAGGAACTTGCAAGTTTTGGTGAGTCAACATAACGTTTCTAGAGAAGAAGACGAAAGCAACAAGCTTCTTTCAGATATGGACAAGGTATTGTTTATATGAAAATATTTTATATCGTATCCATAGAAATTTTTAAAATTCGATGAATGATACGTCTTTCAATTGTTTCGTTTAATTTTTCAGGCCAATGTAAATCTTTCAAACCACCGCGAGTATGTGGAATGCAAGCTTGCGTCACTTAGAAAATATATCTGCACCTTGGACGCCGTTATGGCGTGGGTTATGGAGACGCGAACACGACTGAGCATTTCCCAAGAATTGCCGCAGCATGAACGTAACGAAATGATTATGAACATCATGGTGAGTTGTAATATTCTTCATGCAATTGATCGTACGAAAGAGTACGATTGTACGAAAGAGACGGAAAATTACATTTCTACCTTTTCCTATTTTCCAGTCCAAAGTTGAAGATCGCGAAATGGAAGTGAAGGACGTGTTGGAAAATTACACTAATCTGGAGAAAGAGTGTGAATCAGCGAAACAACCAGTTTCTATCGAGCTTCAGGTAACATAAAAACATTCTAATTGTATAAAGTTTTTCATTGGATGAATTGGATATTAATTAAGTGTATCGTAATGTGTCGCATTTAATTCAATATCAAACGTACAACAGGAGAAGCTGAAGAAACTGAGAGAGGACTGGCAGCTGGTGAAATACTACGGCGAAAATCAGGAATTTCTACCCGCGTCGTCCGTCGGCTCTACATCGTTTCTAAAAGGTAAGGCAAATCGCATCGTATTTACATCAGATAACGATTATGATACGTCGACATGCTACTTTTCCATCAAGCTCAGCGGAAAACGCTAAAGCGATCGCAGAGATATCTATCGCGGCGAGCGTTTAATACGAACGGAAGTAATTCTGCCTCTCGGTTGGTAAATATGTGTTCTAGCAGACGCAAGGTCTTCGAAGGAAACCGGACAATAAATAGTGCATTTAGTCGGTCCGGTAAGCGCGGCTACATTTCACTTCCACCCCATCTTGCGGAGCGATATATATCCGCCGCGTTAAGTGCAGCCTTTTCCGCGATCAGCTTGGTCTTTTCTCTTTCGCTATTGTCGTTCGATCGGTTAGCGCATTGCTTTTACTACCACGCGTATTTCAGAAATCGTCACATCGATGCTCGACTAGCTTCAATAAATGCCAATAACATCCTTCCTTTTATTGGAATATAATACAGTTATTTACTGTAATCTCAACGCGCTTTAAGGTCAATAAAATGCAGATTAGTCTACGCCGTATTTCCAACCGTATTAAAACGTTGATGATGGTTACCGTACTATTTAGTGTTTAGTATTTATTTGCAAAATTATTACGCGTACCTATATATTTAGATCTCTGATTAGTCTTTCCATTTTTATTTTATTCTATATTTCTAATGTTCAAAACATTGATAGGTTAATTGCCGCGCGCTGGTTACTAGTAACCGGCGCCATTTATATACCACCAACAGAGGCAGAATTATCTCAATTAAACTGAATTATTATTTTAAATAATAATTGAACTGAGTAATTTGTTAAAAATTGAAGTTAATGGATAAAATCGTACGTTATCGAACATGCATCAACTCTTTGCGGTTTTGTTGCGAAATTGTTTTGGGCCTTTCTTCTCAACCGATTCATCCAGAATCAAAAGTAATACACTCAGGAAAACTAATGAGATATACAATCAAATATGTGAAGTTGAGGGCTTTTAAGAGCTTATACACAGATTTTGTAGTATAGTATGTGACACGTTATGTGTTGATATGTAATTTCTCGTCGTTAGTTAAGAAATGTATTTTATTATCGAAATTATCCAAACGTTTAGGTCCTGTTCCAGACTTTTTCTTTTAGTAGTAAGTATATAACATATAGAAATGCTTTAACACAGTCATAAAAATACATATTATATAATCAAAGTAGGCCGACAAAAAGCGATACAGCAATTTGGCACACAACAAAGCTTCAAAGTCATACATCGCTAATATCATGTAAATTTATTTATTGTCGAAGTTCATTTATTTCGCGACAATTTTAATTACTACAGCACATGTCTCTACCGATACATTTGTATCGAGTATATTACCAGTGATTAAATAATCGGTTTATAGAATCGACTAGAACGAATATCTAGAGTAAATCTCGCAGAGTCAATAAAGCACAGCATGCGAGGGCTGTACCGTTTCTATTTCATTCGATCGCGATATCGGAAGCTCCGAAAGGTAAGGATAGACGTCTCATCCCTCGGGGTGAATGGCTTAGAGAAAGGAGGGGTGGAATTCACTGGCGGACGGAACGTGCGATCGTCAGTCCACATAATGAGCGGATAAGCTGGCTAATGTAGTCGCAGCAGAGCATTGCCAGATGGGAGATAGTACAAGCCTCGCCATTGCCCATTTCTCTTTTTTCCTCCAGCTATACCCCCCCCCCGCATGCCCCCGTCTCTTTCTTTATCTCATCCTCTCTTACTTCTGGCAATGTTAGCGAGATGGAATCGGAGTTTGTCCGACACAAGTTTGTTACCGCGTAGCGCCGCACGTGCGCCTTAAACACATAGATGTGCGTGTTTGTATGTGTGGGGGGGGAGGTGGGTGGGTGGGTGGTTGGATGGATGGCTCGGTGCGCGCGTGTCACGAACACGTACGTCCTAACACCGTGATTATCCCTTAATTGACGCGGCCACTCCAAGGTATAATCCGTCCACTCTGATTCCGGGCTGCCACCGGTGTAAAAAATTACTTTAGCCGGTCCGAGTGAATCTTGGCGTAAGTAGAAATTAGCGCAGCGTTTTGCGTGAGTCGGTCGAGTATTAAAAAAAAGAGGAGAAAAAAGAGAAAACGAGGAAAAGTACCTGAGGTAGTGGACAAGTGTTACGGCACGGATGCGCTGTATACGAGGAAATATTAGCTCTATCGTATCCGCACGTGGAGAGAAAGAGAGGGAGGAAGGGAAAGAGAGAATGGATTTACGTCGTAATTTTTCTCTATTAGTTCTCGGTCATGGGAATTTTTATTTGCCCGAAGGTCCAAAACTCTAAAACTAAAAAAGATACACGTGAAGTATTCTTCTATGTTTCTGTTTTCTTCTTGTTCCTTCCTTCCTTATTTTGTTTTCTTTTTTGTAATTTTGTAATTTCGTGCTGTATGCGTGTGTTTGAGACCGTTACTATCCCGAGTGATTGTAGAACTACGCTCTGAGGGACATCGCGCATAATTAATAGCTAATTATCGGACACTTTGACGTTTGCTTATTCGTATTCCGGGTAGTCAGAACTACCTTCAATCGTGAAGTAATTAACAAGGGAGTTCGCTGGTAATTGATTTGCAGCAGGACGGTGGAGCGAGCTAGGGGGAGGGAGGGAGGTTGAGCTTGATAAATGAGCGTGTTGCAGATGTCTAAGTGATTCTTTTGATAGACGAAGTAAATTATGTTTATATTACGGAAGAAATGTTTATGCAATTTATGTAATTCAAGGAAAATTATTTAATAACGGCGTTCCTGGTATTTTCCACGTAAAATGATATATTTGTCACGAAGCGTATAAGCATATTGGGACACGTGTTAGAACATAGCCTTATATATTATTGTGAATCATTAATATGTGGGTACATAATCGTACGTAAGTTCTATTCCGATTGATACTCCTAATCATTGATTTACAAAGCGGCGAACTGCTTCTGTATCGAAAATTGGATCAATAATTCGTAAAGCGGAAATTGATTGAAATTTCAAATACGGTCGACGAAAAATCACAGTGAAAGCGTCGCATGCACGATCGTTGGCTCTTATATCTCGTAAAATCGATTACGTAGCGAAGGAGATCGTCCCCGGTTTATAGCCTCATAAAAGTTTCAAAAAAGCGCGATCGTATACCTCCTCCGTCGGGATGATTGTACAGAAGATACGCAGAAGTTCCGTCGGAGATTATCTCTAAATTCGTTTAGGTATCCGAGAAAAAAGACACACTCCCCGAGGTGGTGGTTGTATTAATATATTCAAGTCACGTTATCTCGTGATGAGCGCGCATGAGAATTCGCGATTGTAAAATCGTGGAAGCTCGAGTTTGTCGAACGGAGCTATGGAGAAGGCGGCTTGTCCTGCCTCCCCCCTCTTTCTCTCTCTCTCTCTCTCTCTCTCTCTCTCTCTCTCTCTCTCTCTCTTTCCCTCTCGCAAATAATCGATCAGTGAGAAAATCTAGGTGGGTAGCTTTTTTATGGCTCCCCGAGGAGCTCACGAAGTGGATGGGCCGTCAGTTCGCGCTACCCTTCCCATATCTTTGAGGGGCCACCCTTATGGATCCATTCTTCGTCGGTATTACCGCAAACGCATAACATCCGCCAACTGAATCCGCGCATTTTGCCTGATGCCCCGAACTGCCCGAGAGTAATAGAATTCAGTACATCGACCGGCTTCATTCGTAGGAAAAGAAAAAGAGGAAAGGAGAAAAGGAAAAAGAAAGGGTATATACCATGGTATAGTTGTTCTATACAGCTCTTGTTTGGTTGAATATACTTGTAAAGATAAAATATCCCATTGAAGGTACTGTTGATTAAGGATTATTTATTACCGAGGGAACCATTTACCGGGAAAACTCTCGAGAAATTTCCGGACATTATTTGCACTTTGTAAAATTGCTATCTATCGCGCTCATAGCCAATGTCTAAGAAATGTTATCGTCTCTTGAAGTATATGGAGAGGATTTTTCGGGAAGATACTAACATTCGTACATGGAGAAGGTATCGTATTAGCTCGTTTGGCTAGGATATACTTTACACATTTAAGAGTTGGAAAAAATTATATGGGAAACAGTATGGGAAAAAATATTTTACATACATGTTATAAATGTTCACATTGTAAAATTAAAAGGATAAAACCAAGAAGATAACACACTATTAGTTAATTGTTGCAATATATAATTTTATACTTTGTATAAATGATATAAATATAGCTGCGTGATATAGTATGGTATATTATTCGATAAAAATTCCCCTCGTGTGGGTATAGAATATTCGAAATTGACTTTCTTATCTGCCTAGTAGTCAGGATCTACGATATTATCGTGTGTCTATAATTGAGTTAAATTGAACAAAAAGGTGCTTTACTATTTCGCAAGCAACCTGTGTAAAATTTTAAGTTATTAAGGAAGATTAAAGAAGAAAGTACGAAAGTTATATCGCCCCATTTACTTGCTGCTGATTGTCGAGCAGCGGGTAGAAGGTTGAAGACATCTTACACGCGACCATTTATCAATCTTCCTTAATTAAGAACTCAAAATTTTATATGGTTTACAAAATGATCGAGAATTTCTTTCCTTCAGTTTGATCTGACCTGCACGGAGAAAATACTGTAGTAAAAATTATATTACTATGTTATTTCTTTTTACAATATTCTTTTAAAGCTGGACTATATTGATATTATATAATATAAATATGAGTCACATTCTGTACGGTCCAAATATACAAAAATATCGTTGTAACTACAACAAAGTATATTTTAAGTTGTATATTCTCTGTGTACAAGCAAGACGAATATCGTATCTACCGTCAGACAGCTTGCATAGTATTTGGATGGGTACTATGATAGGAAAACGTACGTATGTCAAGATGGACGATTATCTCGCTGAATGAGAATCTCGCGGCTTCTCCGTTTGTCGATAAACCGTCACATTCGCTTCTCGTCGACGGCGGAGCAAAGTTCGCGAAAGATCGCGGATGACACGGGCTCACGTTTTCTCCGT